AAAGAAAAAGATAGAACATGCCTGTGCCTGGGATTGAGCTAATAATTGCTCCATGCTCCAGGCTTTGCCACACAAAACAGTCATTCTAGGCTGTCATTATCTCTTCTTTGTAGTGTCTCATGAATCATTTGATTAAATAAAAGCATGTGCACCTCTATTCTAAAAATAGAAGAAAGGGCTTACTCTACACACACCTATTGTAAAGAAACAAGCAATGTCTTTCTTTACAGCTTTATAGTGCCTAGGTCTCATTTGGAAGGATTAGATTGTACACAGGTAATAAAGTCCAAATAACAAAAGCCAGGGCTTATTTGCACATATGACGAGATTGGTATGATTGAGTGTTCCTCTAGCCACGTGTTTAGTCTAAACATATTTTTTAAATTTTTGATCTGTTTTTTTTTATCCAGATCTAGAATAATAGAACATCTCCTGTCATTAGTGATCCAATTTTTCAAGAAATAGAATTAATAAGCTTTATTGAGTAGAATTGTAATATAGAAATGTGCTCAATTTATATGCAAAATTCTCAATTTATATAACAAATTCACCACCTTATTAATAGATATTAGATTGTAATTTATTATATAACAAATTCTCAATTTATATAATAAATTCACCACCTTATTAATAGATATTAGACTGTAATTTCTTCTAGTGTACAGTTAATGCTCAAATGCTTTAATGAAAAATATATGCTAGTTATTACCACTTGCCAACTTTTAATTCCTCTAAGCCCCTGATTAGCCTTTCTCAATAATCAATACCCAAGAATATAGTTCATCTACTCTGGGCTGTGAAAGCACATTCAGAAAACCTTGGAATAAAATGGCTTGAAATCTGTATAGCAAAGGCTTTTTTATTCTTCCTAAAAAAAAATTTATCCAGTGCCTAGTATGGTCACAGAACTGAGCTGGGAGACTCAGGATGAAAATGCTTCAACAAATTCTGTACAAATTAACTTTTTTTTGTATTATGAATTTAGGCTCTGTCTAAAAAATTAGACACAGTGGGAAAAATTATCAGCTAGGTACCAGCAACC